ATCATTTCAGTCCTACTTCCTCATGGTTTTTAAAGCTTATTTCTGTCTTTTCAGCTACTTTTCAGCTGTTTTTTTTTTTGTTGCTAATTTCAGCTGTTTTAGCTTATTTCCTTCTAATTTGTGCACTCATTCTGCTTATTTAAATCCAATTTAGCAAATATGTGTTTTTTTCTGCGTTCTTCTGCTATTTTAAGCTTGTTCTTCAACTTCAGCTGCATTTCAGCATGTTTTTGGCTAATTTCAGCTGTTTTTCCAGCAAGTTCTTCTGCAATAAGCTTTCACACTGCACGAAATGCAATTTCTCTAGTTAAACTTGACTCAGGCACATTTCAGAAGAGCAAAAATTCAAGGCAAATAAAAGGTTTTACTTAGTATCAACTTTCTTTTTATTATAAAAAGCAGCAACATCAAACTGTGGAGGTGTTTGAATGCAGGAACTCCATATTAAAGTGGATTATTTTCAAATATTGCCTTTCTTGCATTCACAACTTTATCTGTAGTTCCTCTGTCCAGTAAGCCTCGTGACTCAGTTCAAATAATTCCAGTTGCTAAAATCGAAAACCACATATTTTCGATTACAATGTAATTTACTTAATTCTTATAAAGTTGACTTTTACATGAACTTTATCCGTTTATCATGAGTTTATTATAGAAATTCCTTAACATCCCAAGAATGCTCATGGTGTTTAAAAACCAGGAAAAAAAGGATCCAGCTCATGGATTTTATCTACATTTACAGCACAGCAAACAGAACGACTCACTGGTCGTCTCATTAATTAAACTCTAAAACAGATACGATATAAGCCGTAAAATCCATTTTGTCTTTGAAACCCAGACTTGAGGTCTCATTAAAGTTTCCTCTCACAGACAACACGGAGAAACTCTCTGAACTCAAGTGTTAAAGCCGGAGCTCGACGCCGCACGGCTCCGAGTGATAACAGTCAAACCAAAGTCTTTGAGTGGTCCAGATGAACTGCGCAACATCTGCAGCCAGCAAAGGCTCGTATTCAAACTGAATCCTAACGAGAGGCAAGGAGTGTTGAAGGTGAAGCTCTGCCGGCTTTACATCGGCTGTGTCATCTCACGCTGACACCACAGGGGACGCATAAACACTAAAACTGCACTTTCTGCAAGCTAATCTGCAAGTGACCACACGGTCAGCAGCTCAGGGTCATTTCTGTCATGAAGCTCTCGAGATGATGATACTAAAGATAAAACACGGTCAAAGTTTTAATTTCTCCTAATCACAACAATGTTCATAGTTTTCTGAAATAAGGCCGAGTGATATTAAACCCAACAAACCATCAACATATATTTCACAAGCAAAAAGTGCAACGAAGTCATTCAAAATCAGTTTTCAGTCAAAAGATTAAGATCTGACATGTAAACCATGTAAGCTGCGGAGTCCGTGAGAAAACTGAGAAGGTCAAACAAAGCCATATACCGGAAGACTAGATACTTACATTTTTCAGTTTCACTCAACTTTAACAAAAGTTTATTGCTGTTAAAATGTTTTTATTATTAGATTAATAAAGAATAAAGGCATTCGTTTGAGAAAATTGCCCAAGTTGTGGTTGTCTGGTGCTTTTCAAACTATTTTAAAATTTAAATTAATAAATATAACAAGCGTACGGCAGCGCCCATGGACAAACTATTATACAGTAATCTATAGAAATGGTCCTGAGGAAAAAAAAAAAAGCCCTCGATTAACCTTTGACCTTGATTTTTGACCTGATCTAGATGTTTGGTATGAAAGGTTTACGAGATACTCAGATTAGTGGTGTTGCATATGTTTCTTTAAATTATATAATTATTTTTGAGAGGATCCAAAATTATGGTCCAGACAAGCGAAGACCTTGGTTAACATTTGACCACGATTTGTGACCATGACCTTATAGCTGGGGTGATGAAAAGATCATAACATCCTGTCTGGTGGTGGTAAAAATGTATCAAGTTTTGTTAAAATATCTGGAGTGAATCAAAAGTTGTGGTCCGGACAAGCAAAGAAAATGTTTACCCTTTGACCTTGATTTGTGACCTTGAAGCTGGGATGATGAAAAGTGATGCAACACCCCGTCTAGTGATGATGCATTAGGTACATGAAGTTTTGTAAAAATTTCTTGAGTGGATCAGAAGTTATAAGCGGGACAAGAACATTTTTTTTAAATTTTGACCTTGATTTGTGGCCTTGACCGGGACAAGTGGAAGTTTATGGGCGTACGTAGGGACAGATTTCAAACCAGAACACGTCTGTTTTTCGACTGGCATATAAAAATAAAAGATCACCTAGACTCATTCCGTCCATTTATGACCTTTAACATTTGTTTCTACACGTTAGAAAAACTTTAAAGTTCATAGCAAACAGATTTACAGAGCGTCAGCGTTAGTCTTTTATTAACTGGAATCAAACAAAGCCACGTTTTCAGCAAAGGGAGTCAAAAAGAAAAGAATGAACCACTCGACCCTGAGCCGACGAGAAGTGTGTGACATTCTGTAGCGTTTATGATGAACGCGCTTTTAAGGGTTTATTAATGTCAGCATGGTGCGTTTAATGACAGACGACTTCAAGAGGAATCGATTAAACTTTCCTTCTATACGAGTCTGAACTGCTTTAAGCTTTAAACATTCAGTTATTTACAGTAAAAACAAACTTATTGTCAAGATCAGGTCACACCTGCCTTGTTTTTATTAATTTTGACAATAAACTTCAACATAAGCTCAGAGGTTCAAATGAATATGTTTCATGCCAAAAATTGCCAAACTACATGTAACTGCAGTTCATTAAAATGATGGAATGGTGTGTAAAATATAAATAAAAACAGAATACAGTGATTTGCAAATCTCATAAACCAATATATTGTTCACAATGGAACATAAACATCAGATGAATATAGATATATTTATATATATTATGGCAGCAACATTTCAAAACTGTTTGGTGCAACTCGAGTTTTCACTTTAATTATAAAAGTATTTGATGGCAGTACTTCTGGACTCTGTTCACGTCTCCACTCATCTTTAGTTCTGAGAGTTTCAGTCTCTCTGAAATGCATTTTATACTCCCTCCTCCTTTTCATATTTTATAGCCTCTCTTCCCACTTTAATTTGTGTTGCAGCCATAACATTTAAAAAAGGCTTGTTTTATTTTCAAAAGAGGTACAATTTCTCATTTTACCTTTTGAAATGTTTACAATGTTCCATCGTTAAAAAAAATATTAGTTTATTAAATTAGCATTCTGTTTTTATTTACGTTTTACACAGCGTCCCAACTCCTTGGACATTAGGGTTGTACGGGTCAGATGTTGGTAGTGATGAAAACACCCCCGCTAAGTCAATTCTTCTTCTTTTTTAAATTTTACTGAGGGGCATCTTGATCTTGATTGAGACTATAACAGAAGCTGATAACCTCACGAGTTCGTTCTTGTTTAAAAATACCTTTTTTATGTTTTGGGATTAGACCCGCCTTTATTTTAATTTATTT